ATTACATAATTTGGCTTATATTTGAGAATCATTAGCATAGAGGATAAGGCAAAGATAAGGTAAAACTGTGAATAAGGTAAAGATAGGGAGAAGTAGAATCAACAGGAGAGCTCAGATAGCTTGGAAAATATCGGGATTCGTGTAGGTAAAGATAGGAAAAGCTTTGCGAAAGCTAAAAAGAAATGGTTAGAGGTAGAAAGAGAAGGTGGGAGGAATCGTGCCCAAAGAGCCAGTACAATAGTATTAAAAAAAAAAAAAAGTCACCACTAGCAAGTACCACACAAACAACATGGAAATAAGGACTTAACTATGTTGATGTTTATGAAACAACTTGCCGGGAATTTAGTAGCAGCTTCTAGTGCAGGTCGCTTCCACCAGAAGCTGACTTATCCCCCAGCTCAGCTACATGAGGACATGCTTAAGCTGAAAGAATTGATGAGCTGTGATATTATGGTATTGAAGGACTCCATAGATAAATATTAAATGATGCAGAAGGCATCAAGAAAAGAGGGAAGGAATAGAGTCGCTGTACCAAATAGGTGTTTGACGGCTTCAAAAGTCGACAGTACAGAAGGGAGTCCAAGCTTTCCCGACGGCATTAGTGAAAAACAAGATCGCAGGCATTGATAATATGCCGAATGATAGTTCAACAAACTAATGCGGGAAGCACTCACTAGCATGCGCCAAAAACTTTTAGAAGCGCATTACCTGGCCAACTGACTGGAAGCAATCCACATATGTGCCCATTCCAAAGAAAGGTGACTCAGCAGAGTGTGGAAATTATCAAGCAATAATTTGCAAGCAAAATTTTATTGAAGATAACCCAAAAATAAATGCAGCGGTATATCCATAGGAAGCTACCAAAAATGGAAGCCAATTCATTAAAAAATGTGGAATGAGGGACATCATTACTGATATCAGATCAATCTTGGTTGAAAGCAGAGAATGTCAAAAGATGCTTCCTTTTGTTACATTGGCTCTGCAAAGGCATTTGACTGTGTGAATGATTACAAACTATGGATAACACTGACAAGGATGGGCCTTCTTTAACACTTACTTGTGCTCATGTGGCACCTGTACATAGACCAAGAAGCAGCTCTTTAAACAGAACAAGGCAACACTACATCATTGAAAACAGGACAGCTATGCATCAGGGTTGTATTCTTTCTTCACACTTGTTCAATCTATGTGCCAATCAAATAACCCATGAGGCTGGACTAAAGGAAGAAGAATGTGGCATCAGGATTGGAGGAAGGCTCCTAATAGCCTGGGATATGCAAATGACACAACCTTGCTTGCAGAAAGTGAGGGCAACTTGAGGCCCTTGCTGATGAAAATCAAAGGCGGCAGCCTTCAGGATGGATTACAGCTCAATGTAAAGAAAAGAAAAACCCTCGCAAATGGACCAATAATAACTAGCATGGCAGTAGTGGGAAAGTATTTAACTAGTCGAGAATTTCATTTCACTCGGCCCAACAACACTCATGGAAGTAGCCGTTAAGAAATCTAATGATTTCTTTTTACACTGAGCAACTCTGCTGCCAAAGACCCCACGAAAGCCCCGAAGCACAAAGATGTCACTCTGAGGACGAAGGTGACCGTGAATAAGGAAGACGGTAGAAGAATGGATGCTGACAAAGAAGACCGAAAGAACCAGGGGCTGCCAGAAGAACAAAGAATCTTCTCTTGGAAGAGGTACAGCTAGAATGCTTCTTGAAGGCAAGGATGGTGAAACTTCGCCTCACATATTTTGAAAGATTATTAGGGGAAATCGGTCCCCAGAAAAGAACATTTACCTTGGTAACGCAGAGGGTCAAGAGAAGAGAGGGTGATGGACGGACACAAGGTAAGAATGATTGTGAAACTGGTGCAGGACTGTATTGCACAGCGGGTCTCTGAGACTCAGAAGTGGCCCAACAGCACCTAATCAACAGACAACATGGAGTAGTTTCTGAAGTAATTCCTTTGGAAAATCCCAATTGCCTGCCTGGTTTTACGAGACATGGCAATTTGCAAGACGCCTGCTCAAATCCCTCCACGGACCTTTTTCCAACTTTCTTCAGCACAATCTGCGCTGCAGCTTCAGTATCATGAGCATTTTTAAGACTTTTATTTCTCCAACTATGATTTATTAGTGTTGGTAGAATTTTGATTTATTTCTATTTTCTGGTCACTCTGACATCTTGTCTTCATGAGGATGTTATGTCTAAAACAGGCTTTGATGCCTGCTCGGTGTGTCATATGGTAAGATGTCCACTGTTGAATGCATTGAATGCCTAAAGGAAGGAAAACACACGAGTTTTTATGTTTACTAGATGTGCGTGCCCTCTAAATCCCATGAAGGTCGTTGTTACTGTTGCTTTGTACCATTGACTCCGACTCTCCGTTGACCTATACACTGCATGGTCCAGTGCCCTCCTCACAGTTGTTCCTGTGCCTGAACCACGGACAGTCAGTCCCTCCAGTTGAGGGCCTTTCCCTCCTTCGCTGCCCCTCCACTTTACCACGCATGATGTCCTTCCCCAGGACTGGTCTCCCATAAAGCATGCCCAAGTTATATATGACAAAGTCTTGCCATCCTTGCCTTTAACGAGCACCCTGGCCTAATTTCTTCCATTTGCCATGAATAGGGACATTAAATCTCAAATTTCTCACTATTTGTAGACCTAGAGGATCATTCTCTGACAAGACAAACATGGAAAGAGCAGCAGGGCCAGGAGGAGGACACGAGTTCTCTGGAACAAGTGCTCAGTTCTCGATTCACCCAGTCATCTTTGCTTTGTGTGTGGAAGACACTGGGGGCAACTTGGCAGGGCTTTCAAAGTGAAAAGTGTGCCTTCTGGAAACAACGGCCTGATCCCCAGCTTGCAGGTGCGCGTTTTCTCGCCACCATGAAACACCAAGATGAAAGAAGACTTGTTCTTCTAAAGCTCAATGAATACATGAAAGAATTTAGTCTGTTTCCTAAATCCCTGAGAAATAATCTCTAAAACCTCTGCAGCTCCCCAAGTGTCTTTGATGAGTCCTTCAGACTACACCTGGGGGTTTATGACTCAGGTTGGATCTATGTCAGAAAACCTCCTGGTAATATTAATCTCCTGATATCAACCTTCTAGTATCAGCCAACCACAGCAGAAAGAGGTTAGGGTTTTCATGACATAAGGAGACCGCCCATAAGAAGTCCTAGTCACTGAAGTTCTATGAACTTCCTGGTTGGTGACAGACATGGATGCATGTCCCTTCGTGGACATGGAAGCGGCACACTGGAAGTGGAGCCAGATCTTGCCCCATGAAGATCCATTTATATCTCTCCATTTATATCACTTTTGCGATAATAAAACTGTAATCATAAGGACAAGGGGATACCCCCAAAAAGCTGAAAATTTTTTTCAAAGGTGTTGTATTAGGCATGGTTCTCACAAGAAACAAAACCAGGACACTTATGATTATATATATAATATAT